TTCTCTAAAAAAGGCTACATAATTACATGGTCCTCCTAGTGTATTAAGCTAGTTATATTCAGATCATACAATTTGATTAAGTGGCTTTGTACAGTTTTGATTGTTTCTTTTCAGTTTTGATTGCTTCTTTTCAGTTTTGGATATAACTAAAACTTACCCAGATTTTTGTGAAATGGAGTTAATTCGGTTCAAAACCGAAACCGAACCAAACCGAACCGAATTTCGGTTGGGCCGAATATTCGGATGAAGGGGAAAAATCTGGATCTGGATGAGAGTTTTGAGAATCCGAAAAATTCGGATTGAATACGGATTGGGCTTAAAACCGAACCGAACCGAATACGCCCAGCCCTACTCTAGATCAGGTAAATTATGTAAAGTTGTATTGTAGAAAACTATCTTTTTTACAATGTTTACTAAAATTGAGGTTCTTGTATTGCAATATATTTCTTTTTTAAAAAAGGATTTTTTGATGCCTTAAGGCCCTTAACTCGCAAGGAAAAACTCTGAAACAACTCAATGCTTGCTGTTTCTGCAAACCATCAAATCAAACAAACCTCTTTAGAGGGAGGTTAGGATACTCTTTTATGCAGTTATTGCCCACAGAAATAAATAAACAAAACATCAATTAATTAAATTAAATTAAACAAGTTAAAAATGATTTGCCAGTAGAGCAGTTTGTGCCAAATTCATACGTGTCATCTTAAAGTGCAGTTAGTGAACTGTTCCCTCCCTCTCTCATTCCCGTTAATGACAGAACCCAAATCCCTCCTCCTCTCACACACGCCCCCCCCCCCCCCCACCAACCCTCTCCTCCTCCTTACGAAAAAATCTCCTTCTACTAGAAATATGTTTTGAAGAGAATTGTGTAGAGGGATATTGGCTAGCTGGCTCGAAGCATGAACGAGCCTCTATTAATATATTAATTTCTCATTGAAATATCAATCAATGACAGAGGCCGTAAATGATTCGGACCAGGCTTCATTCCTCTCAAAACTCTCTTTTCTCAATTCGCTCAATAACTGGTTTCATTTGTTGAGGTTAGGTTAAGGGGAATGTTGTCTGGCTCGAGGTAATTTTTCGTTTTAATACTAAAATAATCTCGGACCAGGCTTCATCCCCCTCAACGCACCAACACTACTTGCTCTCTCATTTGGATTCATCTTCTTCAACTTGATGATATGATAATGCTCATGGTAAGTTTCTTCTTCCTCGTAGTTTTTGACTCAGTTCTGTGTTTCGTGTAAGTATTTCATGGTCACCTTTTATCCTATGGTTTTTACTACAGTATATCATGGGTATTATGCCTATTAATTAATATTTGGTTGACATTTTTACCTTCTTTTTTTTCCTATAAAGTATATGTTTATAAATGGTACGTAGACTAATTTTCTTGCCTTTTTTTTGTGTACATTTGATGTGACAACTTGGAGGGAAGCACAATTTCATGTATTTTCAAATCAATCTTTCAAGTTCCTACCTTTCAAATCTTTATCAGTCTTTTATAATCAATTTCTCATTTTCATTTCGTTGAAAATGTATAGATATATGGAAGCAACTACCATTTCAAATTTTTTTTTTAAAATTTATATTTTATTACAATTTCTTCTAGTAATGTAGAATACAGAAGTCACATCTTTACGATCTTGTGAACAAATAGCAAACAAATACAAGCATATATACTGTGCTATATATATAATCGCGTTTATAACCAACTTAGACCAATTTTTTCCTTCAAAAAAGTGATCAAGTTATGCAAAGAATTATTTTATTGTTTCTTTTATATTGTATATATATATATATATATATATATATATATATAAATATGACTATATATATAT